TTCATCAGAATAGTATACATTTTTATATGCAAAAATTTGGGTTCTAACCATTATAACACCAAGTTTATTTATCATATCTTGACAAAATCCTTCAGGGACAATATTCTTCATCCATTGTTTATATTTCCAATCATAATACCAGTCATTAAGTTCAAGTATAAGATGAAATGTTAAAGATTCTTTGAAGGACTCTGTTTGGCATCTTGCATTTCTTAGCAAAAAGATAGGTACATGATCAATTAGTTGATCTTCCATAGCATTGCAATAGACACACCAAAGTGAAACCTTGCAAAAAATATTACACCAGGTAGAGGCAAAGCTAAAAATATCTTCACCTGCATAATCACAAATACATTCAAGAAGTTCTAGGGATTTGACAATAAGGTCCAAAGAAAATGAATCTGGGCTATGACTCATTTCTGGAACTTCTTGGACTTTTACTGCAAAATAAACATCACTTCCCAATATGTTAGAAGTTGATGAGAAATTTATTTGGTTTGCTTTATAAATTAGATTTTTTTTTATTTGAGGTGGAGTTATAAACTCAAATAATATTTGTTGACCACTTATAGTAGTCAAAATTCTTTTAAAATCAATTCTTTATATAGGTTCGATTAAAGATAAGAATGGTGTTCCCAAAATCACCAATTGATTTAAATTATCAATAAGCATAAAAGTGGTAGGAATACAAATTCCTTGGTTATATACAAAAATATTAGAAAGTTTGAAATTTATATTTAATTTTGAATCATCAACAATACTTACTAACTGAATAGTTTTCTCAAAATATTTAGTCGAAATTAATCCTGCCTTTATGCAATTCATATCTGCTCCACTGTCAATTAAAGCAATAGTTTCGACAGTAAATTCAGAATTTATAACTAATATGTTTTTAACATACCATTTATGATAAGTTATTTTTTCTAATACATTTAAGTATTCATTATGTGAAGAGTGTGATAGTGATGTTTTATCATCTTTTATGTCACTTTCTTTAAGTGCCAATTTTTCTAAAGTTAAGAGTCTAGCCTTTATGATTTTTATGTCTTTTTCGACATTATGAACTTCTTTCTTTAAGTCTTGAATCGTAATAGACAAAATTTCTTTTATATGAAGTGGGTTAGCACCATGTCACTTTTAGTTCTATTAAGGACTTCCTTTAATGAATATGGTCTCGACAAATTAGGTCTCTTATCTTCTGGATTTATCTCTAAATATTTTTTAATAGCTTTTCTTTTAGAATCTGGATCTTAAATTTTATCTATAAGATCAAGAACAAATGTTTGTAACTTAGTCAAAGTATTTATACTTAATTCATTCATAACTAAAATAACTTTATAATAATCGTTTTCTACTTTACAATGAGAATAACAGGCTCTATCTTGTTCTAAAAATTCTGTTTCTAAAGATGAATTACTAATTTCATTAATATTGTAATCTTCAGAAGAGAAACTATCAGAATTATCTTCTAATTCACTTCCTGAGTTTAGTATAATTTTAAAGATTTTCTCTTTAAGGTCCTCATCATTAATTAATTCATTAATCTATTGTTTAGTTGAACATTTGGAAGCAATATGACCTTCCTTTCCACACTTAAAACATTTAAGAAGAGGCTTTTTATCTTTAGTTTTTTTAGTGGGTTTATTTATCTTTTCTTGGTCCTTAATATAACTCTTTTTATAAAGTTTTCTACCTTTTTTATAAGGCTTAGCGTAAGGTTTTCTTTTACTAGAAACCTTAACTTTTGGAATATCAAGATTATGAGCAAATTGATTACAAAATTCTCCAAGTTCTTTTCTGCCAGTTAATCTTTGTTTCTTAAGTTGAGCTTTAAGATTTAAATTATTACATAGATCTAATGCTTCTGAAATACATTCAGAAATTTGTTCCTCATAAATATAATTTTCGTAAGGGATTTTAAATCCTCCATGTTTTTGGTTTAAGCCAATTCTAATTTTTTTAGCAATAAGCTAGGCAATCCTAATATAAATTTTTCTTTCCAAAATTCATTATTAGCATCTGGACGTAATAAAACTTTAGCCCAAAATACATCCTTATACCACCTAAAATGTGTTAATGTGGGGCATTTTAAATTCATTAAAAGTTCTTTACTTTTATCAGTATTTTGAAAACAAGATCTAACAAAGTGTTTTAATATGGTTTGTACTAAGGTGTATACAGCGTTTTCTTGAGTAATTATACTTCCATTTTCTGTTGTTGTTATCTTGACTGTATTTAATATTTTTTTTCTTTGAACTAGATTTAAATAGTTATCCCACCAGTCTTTTAATTGGCCTATAAATCCGGTGGTAATAAATTTAGCAGTAGCATGATCAGAATTGCGATTAACTTTACATGTTGAAGCATACACTAAAATTTTATAAGACTTGGTGAATTACATATTCAGACATGTCATCAATATTTCATTCATAAATTGGAGACATCATATCCTTGTTGATCAATAAAAAAATTTTCTTCAAACANACATGTCATCAATATTTCATTCATAAATTGGAGACATCATATCCTTGTTGATCAATAAAAAAGTTTTCTTCAAACAAAATATCTTGAGGTGTTGTTCATTGATAATAAGTTCACATTGGAGGGGCTTGTGCATATATATTAGTTTGAGATTTTGGTTTAGAAAATTCAACTTTATTTATTTCTTCAGACTGTATTTGATGTAGAAAATCTTTAAATTGTTGAATTTCAGTTTCAAATTGCTCTTCACCTTTTTGTTTTAGAAATTACATTTTATGACAATCCTTTTAATTTATCTTTGAGTGCATTTATGAACGCATCTTCAACTTTATTATGAAGATTAAAGGTAGAAGTATCAACTGATGATTTGATATTTTCTTGTTCAAAATCATTATCCTTAAGGGATTGTGAAGATGAGGCTTGTTATGAATTTATTAAGTTCTCAATTTTAGTCAAATGCTGGCCTATAGCCTGTAGACAAACATTGATATAATTATTTTGTTTTATAAAAATAGTGTTGCCTGTATAACAAGTATTTATAAAAATTTATTCAGAATTATTTAGATGTAATTTTACTGGTTCAGGTGTTGGTGGTTACACAATTCAAAATCAATTTAAAAACACTATTTTCTAAAAAATTTGACAAAACTTCTCTAAAAACACGACCCTTAAAAAATATCAACATGAACACAATTTATATATTTAATCATTGTACCTAAAAATATCTTCTTTTTTCTGGATAGGAGTCGATGTTGGCGGGTGTGTGTATTGGCGGGTGTATAGAGAGAGAGACTTATATCATAAATGAGATAGACTTACGAGAGATGAGAGTATGATATATAGAGAGATTAGAGTTTTAATGGGTATTGATGCATTTTGTTATTATTAGATATGTACAGCCGTTCAAACCAAACTCTCCAATTTCTATTACTTTATATTATTATCTGCGTTTAGGATTGAGAGAAAGCGTGTGTGTGAGTATGAGGTAGATAAAAAAATAGAGTTATATGAGAGATGAGAGTATGTGTGTTTAAAATGTGTGAGAGATAGGAAAAAGATATGTAAAAGGAATGAAAATTGAATTAGGATCATATAGATATGAGTGGGGCTATTCTCACTCCACAAACCTCCATTCCCACTCCATTTAATTTCTCATTATCAAACTACTAAGTTTATCCCTTCTATATTAACCTCATTAGTAACTAATTCCACCACATACTACATACACCCCATTAATAGTTAAGCTCACTCATTTTATATACACCTCCTTAATGGAAAAAAAAATCGTACGTAAAGAATAATGAAAGAAGACAATTAATTTGAATGCATAAATATGTTTACAAAACAAGAAANTCGTATGTAAAGAATAATGAAAGAAGACAATTAATTTGAATGCATAAATATGTTTACAAAACAAGAAAAAAAAAACCAAGCAAAATTGAAAGAAGAGAAAAAAAAAAAGGAAAAAGAAACAAGTAAAAAAAAAAGCATGTTGAAAAATGGAAAAAGAAAAGAACCAAACAAGAGAAAAAAAAAAGAAACAAACAAACAAAACGAAACAAGACAAAAAAGAATGAAACAAGAAAAAAACAGAAAGAAATAAGCAAACTAAAACAAGAAGGAAAAAAACTGAGTAAAGATTAAAGGAACAAGCAAAATTACAAGACGCAAAACTAAATATGAAAAAAAAAAAACATCAAAGACAGACACAAAATCGAATAATAAAAAAATAAGAAATATGGATGCAAAATCTTAACAAGATAAAAAATAACAAATAATCTGAAAACATACATATATAGATGCAAAACCTTAACATGATAAATGAGAATTTGTCACAATTAGGAACACACAAAAAAAAAAAATCTGAGAAGATAATAGATGAGAACCAGTCATTGGTCATGTACAATTTTTTATGAGCAATTGTATTTACTCCTAATTACTAACCTAATTAACTACAATTATTAGATTGATTATGCACTCCATTAAACATTAAAATTTAATGTTAATTTAATGATTATAATAAAATTACATCTTTAAGTAAACAAATTAAGTTAAAAATTTAAATCTAAATAATATTACTCATTTTTCATTAGTGATATAGAGCACATTGTCATGTGGTGCCCCGTGGAGCACACAATATTTTCTTGACTAATGGTACGTAGCTCAAATGAATTCTAATATGTTGTAACCTAAATATATATTATTTCTTGAATAANTAATGGTACGTAGCTCAAATGAATTCTAATATGTTGTAACCTAAATATATATTATTTCTTGAATAATTAGTAGGTCCTATTAAGTTTTTCAATACAACTCATTCATCTAAAATATAGTATACATTTAAATTATAATTTTTTTGATTACATTTGAGTTCTATAACATTTTCCTATTTTATCAGTTATAAAAATGATCTCAGTACCTCTATGTTCACAACAGTAGATAGCTTTAATGCCTGAAGAAGTCTTTTCCACAAATTCTTTTGATCTCAGACCAATGATACAATTTTGGACAGGGTATAGCTTGTGTAGTTTACGAGGTCTCTCTCTCTCTCTCAACAAAACCAACACATCCCTGGCATGTGCATATGCATATGCAAGATTGAGAGATGATAGCAGTAGCACAAAATTTGAATTGTCAGGTTGATATCTGAGGTGAAACCTCTTAGGTCTCAAAACTAACTAGAGGAGAGAAAGTTAGGTCTCAAAACTAATGTTAGCCACCCATTTTTTCACTCTTCATGATTCTTCTGAGGTTTTTGCTTGCTCAGAAGATGGTTTCAGTAACAATAAGAGGAAAAGAAGGCCTGTTGGGACACCAGGTCAGAATCACAAAGTTGCAGATTTTCAAAATCAATTTTTTTTTCGATCCCTAGTTTATATCTTGTTTTTGTTTTTTTCTTTGGATTATTGATTTATTGTGTTGTATGGCCACTATCGTAGATCCTGATGCACAAGTAGTTTCTCTCTCTCCCGAGACGTTAATGGAATCAGATCAATACATCTGTGAAATCTGCAACCAAAGGTTCCAAAGGGAGCAGAATCTCCAGATGCACCGGCGCCGCCACAAGGTATTATTTTTCACCCAAAAACACTTTTATTTTGCTATGAAAAATTTGGGTAGAAAAAAGGCAACCAGACGTGGAGTCCTTATCAAGCGTACTTTAACCTAGCAACCCTCATTATATGGGAAAGTCCTCAAGAGGGGCCTAGACGGAGAACCCGCGAACCTCCCCTGAGGACAATCTTAACTTCCGGTCCAACTTAGTAGAGGTACTATTAATTGAAACAACGTTTGTTTTATACCAAAATTGCGTCATTATGTCTATATTCTACTGTTAATTTTTTAACAGCAGATGATCCTCACCCCCAACTCCACTGAACTACTAGAAGCAACTCAACAGTTTTCTTTCTCGGAAATTAAACCCAAGTTACAGACCTGGTATACCTCGAGGACATGGTTGTTTCGATTATAAAATTTAGATGGTATAAAATTTTATAACTATTTTNAACCTGGTATACCTCGAGGAGGACATGTTTGTTTCGATTATAAAATTTAGATGGTATAAAATTTTATAACTATTTCACTCCAATTCAATAGTATATTATATTCGGTGTTAAACTATAATTTCATTATTCTCCTTGTTTGTTTATCACAAATATTATTTGTGTAATACCTACTTAAAAAAGTCNGACCTGGTATACCTCGAGGACATGGTTGTTTCGATTATAAAATTTAGATGGTATAAAATTTTATAACTATTTTACTCCAATTCACTAGTATATTATATTCGGTGTTAAACTATAATTCCATCATTCTCCTTGTTTGTTTATCACAAATATTATTTGTGTAATACCTACTTAAAAAAGTCAACAATTGCGGCTAATTAATGTGAAAAATAATTTTAACCTTTAAAAAGTCAAAAATTGCGGCTAGACTTTTATATGTAAATTGTACCGGAGGGTATTTCGATTTTTTTAGTTTATAATACTTATACCAAGAATATAATACCACCTCTAGGTGATATTTATTAAGACTTTCTACAAAGCATTATGACTNTAATGTGAAAAACAATTTTAACCTTTAAAAAGTCAAAAATTGCGGCTAGACTTTTATATGTAAATTGTACCGGAGGGCATTTCGATTTTTTTAGTTTATAATACATATATCAATAATATAATACCACCTCTAGGTGATATTTATTAAGACTTTCTACAAAGCATTATGACTACTGTTCATAGCAGGTCGGTATTACGACCCAGAAAATAGTACTGACTATAAAATGTCAAACAAACAACGTATAAAATGAATCTCACCTACTATTTTCCTAATATCATCTTTTTATATCACTCTAATACTCAAAACAAACGCCTCCAAGGGAAAGACCTTTAATGGGGTGCTACTGCGCTAGGCACCACTAGGCCCACACAACTTGATAATACTTATGATTTCATCCCTTATTTATAAATTGACTTATGATCAGTGNGATGAATCTCACGTACTATTTTCCTAATATCATCTCTTTATATCACTCTAATACTAAAAACAAACGCCTCCGAGGGAAAGACCTTTAATGGGGTGCTACTGCGCTAGGCACCACTAGGCCCACACAACTTGATAATACTTATGATTTCATCCCTTATTTATAAATTGACTTATGATCAGTGTGATTTCATGTTTCTTCTCACAAACCCTTTGCCAATTGACTTATCTGTCTGTCAATCNCTTGATAATACTTATGATTTCATCCCTTATTTATAAATTGACTTATGATCAGTGTGATTTCATGTTTCTTCTCACAAACCCTTTGCCAATTGACTTATCTGTCTGTCAATCGCTTCCAAATGCATTGGAAAGGTCCCATGGAAGCTACTGAAGAGAGAGAGTAGCTATGCCCGGAAGCGAGTTTACGTTTGTCCAGAGCCAACTTGCTTGCACCATGATCCATGCCATGCACTTGGTGATCTGGTGGGAGTAAAGAAGCATTTCAGAAGGAAACATAGCAATCAGAAGCAATGGGTTTGTGACAAGTGCTCTAAAGGTTATGCTGTTCAAGCTGATTTGAAGGCTCATCTCAAAACTTGTGGTACCAGAGGCCATTCTTGTGACTGTGGTCGTGTTTTCTCCAGGTTCTGCTTTATTAATTAATTTCATCTTTAATATCCAAGTTTTTCGCGATTTTCTGATCTTGTTCCTTTCTCTGTCATAATTTTTAGGTCGGTTTTCAATTTATTGATGTTTTTGTATAAGTGTTAAAATATCACAAAAATCGAGGGTAGTTTGAGAAATAAGTTAAAAACAATAATACTATGGAAAATTTTAAAAATGACTATAGTTTGATCATTGATGATTAATACAACCATCAAAGTTTCTGTTGAAAAAACTTTTGGTTGGTAACATCAAAACCTTGCCAGCCAGTATCTTAAATGGTGTCTTCCTATAAATGGATATATATAAATATAAAGCCGGTTCATTCAATTTCAAGATAAAGTGTCAGGATGCATAACAACTTACATGATCTATTATAGTTCTGTGTTACCTCGAGTCATTTGAGGCCTTACCATTAAGTTGATTTGTATCATTATGCAACACCGCGATATGGTTTGAATTTATCATGTGTTCCACTTCTTCAATGTATTTTTTTTGTAAGCATTGCTCATACTATCTTGTTATACAATGACCGACATGTCTTGGTACCTTCAGAGTCGATAGACAATACCGCAATCCTAAACCATGCTTTCTTTTTGTTTAGGTGCTTAATGAGAATATATGGTGAGTGCATGTGAGCCCTTGTCCAAATTTATTCAATTCATTGTTTTATAACACTTATCTTAATTCCCACAGGGTAGACATTTTCATGGAGCATCAAGAGTCATGCAAAGGTAGGACTACTATCCACACAGAATTGCAGTCACCAGCTCCTAGAAATTCAAATTCAAGCACCACCTCTACTCCAATTTGGAACATACCCAATCAGAATAAACCCGAAATCGTGTTTTCGGTACAAAACAATCACTCTATCTCTAACTTCCATCGAAAATTAAGTCCAAAACCATCTATTTTTAGTCCTCCAGGCCAATATCATGCCACCCAATTAAGTCTATCAATTGGATCTCTAAGTATTAATAATGAAGAAAACGAAATAAACCATTCACCAATATTGAACAATTGTGCATGGAAAGCCTACTTCCAGCACAGGGTTGATATTGAAGAACATGAATTGGCAGCATCAAGGTTGAGAGAGGCAGCGCATGAGCAGCTGAGGGTGGCCTGGGAAGAGAGAGGCTTGGCAGAAGAGAGGCGGCAACAAGCAAAATGGGTGTTTGAATTGGCTGAGCAAGAGTTCACGAAGGCAAAGATAATCAGACAAGTTGCTGAAATGGAGTTGAATAAGGCACAAGTGCTGGAAGATGTTGCAAGAAAGGAAATGAATTCCAACATTCTGCAGATAAATTGTCTTGCTTGCAAGAAGAAGTTCCAAAGATTAAATACTTTGTGATGGTGGCTTGGTTTTTGAAGAAACCACATGTTTGCCCCCAGAATTTGTAACCACTTTGACTGTTTGTGAAAATTTCATGTCTGATCTAGTTGGATTCTAGAATATTGAATGATTATTTTTCAGCAATGTAGACAAAACTTGTGGTAAATTGAGTGAACTTAGAATTCCATTAGATGCGGTTAGACAAAATGAGTTTGTTTGGGATCGATTGTAAAATTTTAGGATTGTTATCATGTTTGAAGATTAATGCCTATTCTTGAGATCATAATTTGATCCAAATTAAGTCATAATCAGCTTTGAGTGAATCGTATCGTTGGATTTTATGCAATAACATCCTTATATTTGACAATATTTTTTGAGTGTGTGGTTGAAATTTAATAATCTCAAGAGATAATTGGAATCAAGCAGACTGGCAAGATTGAAAACATGCAATGTTTCAACCCATTTTGTTACCATTTCTCTAAATTGTTTTCTCATGTGAGCATGGATGAATTTGGCAAAAGAAAGAATCTTATGTTATTTCATGTAAACAATATGGAGAGAGAGAGAGAGAGAGAGAGAGAGAGAATAAAATTCTCCATTCGAGATTCATATCATGCAAACAGTCACTCCCCCAAAAGACGTAAATTAACTTGCATTTGCATACATTCAAACTTCCTCAAATTTATAACTGTGAGAATTCGGTTATGATGTGTTATTAGAGTAATGTAAAGGTAAGACTATGGTAACAAAAAGAGATACCTTGTTATCTAAAGTTTACAAGTAAAAAAGACAGCTCAATAGATTATGAAAAAACAAAATTAAGATCAATATTAAAATAATGTTAGGATTCATTTAGTGTCGATCCCAAACAATCTTTTTGTTATCATACCTTTATCAAATTAAATTCTAACGGCACTCTTACTTTATAGTAATCTTAATATGAAACCAAAAAATAGTATCATAATACCTCGTAAATATTACGACGCCATGTAATGATTTTTGTTAGAAAAAAATCAGAAGTATCGTAATTGAATTCATATAATTAAAAGAAGAGAAATTTAAAGATTACAGTATTGTCTTTGATACCATACTAAAAATTATAATTTTTTTTAAAATATAAGTTATAATTATAAAGTGCATGATCAATTACTTCAGGAAATTCACGATTGATGATAGTATTTCATAATCGATCATGAATTTTCTTCTAGTAATTAAAATTTCACATTTAAAAAATATAATTTTACTATTAAAATTAGTAATTTTCTTTGTACGGTATTAAAATTTGTAAAATAAAATTACTCTTAAAAAGAAAACAAAAAAAGGCATGTGGGTCCTCAGATCTGAAAATGGAACACCGGAATCAGAAGTCAGAAGTAGGATTAAAGCGACTTTTTAACAAGTCGCCCGTGGCTTTTTTCATGGGTACCATTCAACTTTTAATGCAATAAAACACCATGTTTTTCAGTGCCCAAAATTTTGTAAGCTTTCCACAGAAGCTCCAGTCCTCTCAACCCAGGCAAGACACACACACACACACACATTACCAGCCACCCACTCACTTTGATTGTCAGTTCTCTGGTGCTCTCATTGGGGGGAAAAAAGAGTGAAAAAAGTTATATGGACCTTTGAAAATCTCAGTTGTAGCTTTTATGGACAATAGGCCTTTGAAAAACTGCATGCGATGAACATTTAACCTTTCACGAGTAAGGCCAAGGCAAGAGGCTTCAATTGGGGAGTGAGAAGACCAATCATTTCTCTCTTTCTGTAAATTGTGTTTGGGCAATGAGTGCCAAACTTTGAAAGAGCAATAATACTTATGATAGAGTTATGGATTTGATTACGGTTCGGCCAAAGAAATTTGGTTACCATACTTCTAAAATTTTTTACTTTAAATGGTGTTTTTATAATTTTTGTAGTTATTTTACAACCAAAAAATTTATCATTTTTGTGGTTGATTTACTATTTTTGTAGATATTTTTATAATATTTGTAATAACAATTTTTACCTTTTTTTTAGGTACAAAAAAATTATCATTTTTGTTGGTGATTTATCACATTTGTGGGTATACCATATTTATAGATATTTTTATCACTATTGTGGTAACTATTTTACCATTTTTTTGGGTACCACAGTAATTGTAAAAATACCACAAATATAGTAAATGTAACCACAAATGTAGTAAATGAAAGTATGGTACCAAATTTTTTTTTCAACATTGTATTAAACTTCGTAGATTTATATATTAAAATTTAATTTTTTATAATGAAACTCAATTTATTATTTAATAAACGTTGTTTATTTTCTATTGAGAGTCTGTATGAATAAAATATTTGTATTATATTAAATATATGTTATGCATGTATATTTTTTATTTTATATTATAGAAAATCTGATGTATAGATAGGAGTGGAGCCAGGAATGAGAGGGAAAAAAATATAACTAAAAATAATTCAATAGTTGATACCAAAAAAAATGAGAGAAAAAATAACAAAATAGACTAAGATTCGAAACAATAACACAATCATGTATTATATGAAATACAATATTCTTTTAAATCTCTAAGATTTTTCATAATTGATTAATTGTAAGTTAGATTTCTCACTAATTTTCTACCAACGCATACAATCACAAAGTCTGTAGTAAAATTATTCTTTATATAATTGTAAAATATAATTAAAATCATTCTCGTTTTTATAGAGAAATTACATGTTTGACATAGCATAAAATACTTTTGGGCTATAACATGTGGCTTTTGCATCCAATTATATTTTACTAGGTATACACTACAAACAAATCGAAAAATAATAAATGATAGCTATACAATTATTTTTAAATGATTGGAAAGTAGTGTATTAAATAAAATAGAAATATTATATTTTTTTCAATATATATAAATAGATCATGACGTTTACATCCAATTTACTTGATCCAAAAGTAAAACATTTGTTTTAGAGGGCTAATAAACTACTAATTTACTGGGGAAAAAAGGGACTAGTACCATTATGTAAATTTTCAAAATTTTAGGGACGATAAATGTGGTACATTGAATAATCTTATGGGGTCTCATCAAAAGTGATCCAAAATTGGGGGAGACAAGTGCCCACCCCCGGTCCCAATGTAGCTCTGCCCATGTGTGTAGAGTTTGGTTTATACATAGAAGATCAAATTATCAAATTTTTGTACGATATGATAAAATATTCACAGTCTTAAATAGAATTGAACACATAATTGGTTGGATTGCAGTGCAATCTTCTGGCATAGTATGTCTTGGTTATAAGAAATTGTCTAATGTCTCGTATATGACCATTATTGAGGTTATTTTTTATTATTATTAAATAAGAAAATAAATATTACATAGTTATTATGATTAGTTAAACTCTTAATTGTGAGATATTTAATTAACACGTGCATATACTAATTGTCACTTTAATTCATTAACTAGTGAGATTCATATTTGAGTCAATAAACTCAGTGAATTGAGATATAACATTATTTATAAGGTAGAAATTAATTATTAAAGAAAATCACGTCCCAATATTTAAATGAGTTGATTATATCCTTTTGAAGAAACTCATAAGTTTTGTCCATGTCAAACCGTGCATGTGAGTTTAATTATCCGACACGACAAATAAATCGAGTGGTAAGATATCAAGGATAAAAAGAACTAAATAAATTAAATATAATTATCATTAATTTAATTATTGACTGACATTTATAATCTTAAATATGATGAGATTATTAAGCATATAATAACGAATAGCTCGAACTATAATATTGACACAAGGCATGAGAGATTAATAATAACTTTTTAATAGACTAATTTATTATTAATAGATTGTAGATTATTTGTTTTGGATTGGACATAGAATTCTTAAACTCATTGGAAACCCAACTTTTATTTCTCATTAGGGTCTCTACGAATTACGATAACCTATAAATAAATTCACTTCTTAATTCTCTCAACCACAACCTTTATCTTCACGTTTATAAGAGTCAGAGAGAAAAAGGCTAGGAGAGAATTCAGACGATTGCAGTTCACATTAAATTCAAATTTTTGAGTGAAAGGATATACGGTAGAAGACCGTGAAATTCATCGAACTGCGGTTCAATTTACGTCATTGTTGTCCGTATTATTTTACTCGTCAAATATAAATCATAATTTTGACTCATAGACGAGTAGAAATTTTGTAAGCAATTATACGCGCGTGCTGTCAAAGGATATTGGGATTGCTTGGTTGATTTTATTTGTTGATTTTATTTATT